AATATAGAAACGTTGCAGTGTTCAGTCTTGAAACATACACGGGTTACAATATTTAATATAGAAACGTTGCAGTGTTCAGTCTTGAAACATACACGGGTTACAATATTTAATATAGAAACGTTGCAGTGTTCAGTCTTGAAACATACACGGGTTACAGTATTTAATATAGAAACGTTGCAGTGTTCAGTCTTGAAACATACACGGGTTACAATATTTAATATAGAAACGTTGCAGTGTTTAGTCTTGAAACATTACGGGTTACAGTAAGTCGGTGTTTTAGGTTTCATAATTATTCTTTGAATAATAAATATTATACAAGTTATTAAATCAGAGACATTGGAGAAGTAACGTTAGGCAAAAAATTATTAGGCTGTTAACAAGTTAATATTAGGCTGTTAACAAGTTAATATTATTGTTTTTTAGGCTGTTAACAAGTTAATATTATTGTTTTTTTTCAAAACCACATTTGGAAGATTGTTTTAAAAGACATGTGTGTGTTTATATAATCTTGTTAATTATAAACTAGTTTGTGACATGTTTGACCTTACTTAGCTTGTTATTATTTCTAGGTCAGAGGACGTAAGAACTTTGAGTTTATGTGTTTTATGAGAGATGCACTCGAAAAGCAAAGATATTTAACCCCTGAACAACTCAAAACGTACCAGCAAGACAAGTAAGTAAAGCTTGTTCTAATGTAATCAGTATGAATGTATGACGACAGGGATTAGTGACAGAATTTACTGATCTAATTGGAAAAGACTGTAATTTCCTATAAGGAAAAATATGTAGTTAATAATAAGATAGGATAAATGTTGTTGTTTATTTTAGTTAGCTTTAAATTTAAAGTTACTTTTCAAACTAAACATCTGTTGTTAGTGTACAAACAAAAACAGCTTCATTATACTACATGGAATATTCAGGTTTATCTCTTAATTGTTATTACTGTCAAAGGTGGCTTCATTATACTACAATAAACCTGAATATTCCTCTAATTGTTATTACTGTCAAAGATGGCTTCATTATACTACAAGGAATATTCAAGTTTATCTAATTGTTATTACTGTCAAAGATGGCTTCATTATACTACATGGAATATTCAGGTGTTTAAAACTGGAGTTTGTAAATATTTTGTTTTAAAATTAGATATCAATGATATTTGACTCAAAAAAAAAAGTTTTATTTTTGCTGTTTTTCAGGATACTATTTTTGAGTAAACCTAAAAAGAAAAGCAGTAAGAACTCATCTGGAGAGGAAACAGAATAGGGTGTATTGTAGACAAGATGTTCCTGGCCCAGGAAAAAAAAACTAATACATGACGCTGCTCACAGAGGAAAAAAAAGACTAAGATTCGCTTTTCTAAGTTTTTAGTGATTTTTTTAGATTTAATATATCGAGCAGAATGTCTGTCTAAAATGAAGACCTGTTCTATCAGTGAGTCATGATGAGGGAAGACCTGTTCTATCAGTGAGTCATGATGAGGGAAGACTTGTTCTATCAGTGAGTCATGATGAGGGAAGATCTGTTCTATCACCGAGTCATGATGGGGAGGGAAGACCTGTTCTATCACCGAGTCGTGAGGAGGGAAGACCTGTTCTATCACCGAGTCGTGAGGAGGGAAGACCTGTTCTATCACCGAGTCGTGAGGAGGGAAGACCTGTTCTATCACCAAGTCATGATAATTCATAGAGAAACAAGGATTAGAAGCACATACTTCCAGAATCTGATATATTTGACATTTTATAAACTCAGATTTGTCATCTGTTACTATAATAAGATCACTTTACTTAACTACATGTGTTAAGGAAGTCGGAAAAGGTTACAGTGACAGTCGTAGGTTCTTACCTATCTATAGGCTGTGCATTTAATTATCATAATATATAGAGAACAAGAGACCACATTCAAGGCTGTCTCTGTGCTCCAATCTTGCAAGAAAAGTGAAAATTAAATCCACCCTTGAATTTTGCAGAAAATCTTTGTTTCCCTCTTAAACTTTTATTAAACGCTTGATAACAACTTATTCCTTGGGCCAGTCACCCTGCTAGAAACGTAATACGATCTTAACTGGAACCCTGCCTGTCTTTTCCTAATCTTAAACCTGCTTCCTCCCATATTATGTCATCAGGATACAGCACAAAGAAATCAGAGGCCTTGATCCTGTTTGTCCTCTGAATAATCTTGTAAGCTTCAATAAGAATGTTAACATATCTCAATTTGAAGAGGAGAACAGATGTTTGATCTTGATAATGCTAAATAATCCTGTTGTGTTCTTAATTATATCTGTTTTAAACCGTGTAACCATCTTAAAATGTCTGTTTTAAACCATTATGAATGTGTAACCATCTTAAAATTTCTGTTTTAAACCGTTATGAATATGTAACCATCTTAAAATTTCTGTTTTAAACTGTTATGAATATGTAACCATCTTAAAAATTTCTGTTTTAAACCATTATGAATATGTAACCATCTTAACATTTCTGTTTTAAACTGTTATGAATATGTAACCATCTTAACATTTCTGTTTTAAACTGTTATGAATATGTAACCATCTTAAAATTTCTGTTTTAAACTGTTATGAATATGTAACC